CGGATATTTCTGGCTGACAGCGCCTTCGCCACAAAGAATCATCATCCATTCGTCAACAAATTCCAATGAAAATATCCGCTACACCAACAAGATCCCAATCCGACTCCGAACGACACACAAAATGCAGTACAGAATCTCAGAATATGGCGGACAAGCTCAATGTGAACTCCACTTCAGACCAGTGTGGCAATTGGCTCCAAGAGAGGGACACTGGGGCTCATCACGGGGAAGATGAAATACATACGCAAGCCGCTGTGAAGCGCAATGCTGAGAAGGTTCATCACGTGGGTGGGGACGACTTTCCTCCATGCAATGTGAATGGGGACACCACAAGCGCCGAGAAGACCAGCAGCGCAGCAGGGGGATTTACCACAAAAGTTTCAGAACATTTGGAAGACAAAAACGGAAACAAAGGGTCGATTGAGATTGGCGATGTCAGAGAATACCCTGGAAGTCAAAATGCGGACATCAACGTAGAAATTTCGTGCTCCAAGGGAGGCACCAACAGTTTAAATGGACATTCAGTCGTCGAACGAAATGCATTGAAGGAGATGGATTGTCACGAAACACAAAGAGAAAATCGCGCTACATTTCACACATGTTTCAAAGATGGATGCCGAATGTGCAAAATGCCAATGACACATAGGGCAGCTGGAATCTGCGGTGATGGCGAAGATTCTGAAGCCAGTTTGAAGAATATTGCAAGAGGGGGGGACGCCGGTCATGCGTATGCTGTACTTGTGGCGCACAAGGAACTCACGAAGCGCCAAAAAGAGCTGTCAGTTGCCCATTATAACTGGTGTCTGCTCAGAAGATGCTTCGAAAATGGATGGGCTGGTCTTGCTGCAGCGTCGAAATGCACATCCGCTATTGCAGATAGCCGTCGAACATTAAGGGTGCGCGGTGCAGATTTGTTGTACAAAAGGGCACCCAGTCTGTCAGCATCATTTCAATTATTTATGTGGAAACCCAATATAAGTAGAGCCATATCTTGCCAATATTATAGTGGCTTCATCTACCTGCATTCACTAAGAGTGTAGTCGTTAGCACTACTTCCACATGATAAGTATTAGACCCAGATAACTGACCTCAGTGCAAATAAGAAATTAGAAAAGCCAATTCAAATGTCGTGGTATGTCATGATCAATCACACTATTGAGTAATTTTCCCGTGTCTCAGGTAAAAAAATTATCATTCTTCAATTGGAAATTATCTCTCGTGACCAGGCGGTGGAGTGCAGTGACGTCGGAATTTCAAGACGCGGCAACAGCACGAATCCACTATATCGTAAGTTCAATCGTCTTAAATCAATCACACAAAAATGCAGCTTTAGGCGGCAACAACGAAGGCGCCTCTGCCCTCATCCACAAGTGCTTGATTGATTCTCAAAACGGCTGTTGGCAATCCAATTTCGGGAGCTCTCAATGCTGTTGGTGCTCAAAGCTCACCACTTTGAGGTCAAGAGTATGGTGCAGAGACAATTTGAGTGACACGATCCGAATATGCTCCCCTGCAGGGCCGCGCCGTGCAAAACCATTTTTACTGCTGGCGCATGCTCAACACAGCATTGTGCTGGGGCCGTCGGGTTATATTGGGCAGAGCCCTACGTGCTCTTCAAACGACTGCTCAAATCCAACGTGAGCAGCTGGATCGATTTCGCTTGTCGCGCTCGCTCTACACGTTGACGACATCATTTTGTCAATGGAAGCAAAGAGCAAATCTGCAAGTGCGTTGAAATAGTGTGTACAACGTGATTTGCGGATGTTATGGCATATGTCTCCTGGATGGCGACAATATTGTGTAGTTTCGGGTAGTGTTGGAGAATTGGATTGCTTGACTATCAGCAATAGTAATCGCTGACAATGGTTAGGGAAGACACTATTTTGAATTTCTGCAAGCTTAGTGTCAAATGGGGTGTGGAGTGTGGGGTGGGGGTGTGGGGGTGTCCAGTCATTGACGTTAAGAAATTGTGTAATTGCACTAAAATCAAAGTAAGGTGGGAAGATGGACAAAAACGCCGCTGACCAGCGGAAGATAGCTCATGGCTCGTTGCAAAATTTCGCTCAAACTTTCAATCATCCAGGAAATCCTTAAAATGGATGAATTCTCAGGCTTTTGGGCTGGCTCCATAGCCTATCATGGCTCTTGGCCCGCATATTTTCAATTCTATCTGCAATCGCTACAATTTTGCTGGTTGTTTTCCTAAAATTATGTTGAAGTTGTATGGCATTGTTAAGTAATGTTGCTGAGTCATCCTGGCATCAAAATAAGGACTGACGCTAAAAAGGCTGGGAGGGAAGAGTCAGACCCTGAGCTTAACGTCGCATTTACACTAAGCGTACAGAATTCAAAGTAGTGTCTTCCTTTAGATACATCCCATCCATCGTGCTCAATGAGTAATGGCTTGTGCGGAACCACAATGATCGACCACTCATGCACGGTTTCATGGTTGGTACCTTATCCAAGCTAGTTAATGAATTTGTATTTGAGATGGTAGTATTGTATCCAAATACAAGCGCATTTGTAATATATTTCTAACCGCTTGAAAAGAATGAAATATGAAAAACACTTCAGAATAGTCAGAACCCTGACAGCTTCAAATACCGTGTGCACTAAATCCATGCAAATTTGTCAATCTGCTCAGCAGAAAAGCCAAATGGATCCAGCGTTTTTGCAGTTTCGTTCAAGCATTCCTTTGTTCAGTGGTTTTCTGCAGTGAAAACCATTTCCCGTTACAAATGTTACGTCACATTTAGGAGTCCAGGCCCCGCCCTATCCTGACAGAATTGGTGTTGGGATGTGTGGTAATCTCAACAAACAAAATTCGACATGAATCCCATAACTCGTTCGTCGCAAAATGAATGCAACAAATCGCATTGGGCGTTTTTCCCCCTAGATGATCGTTGGAGGATCCGAAACGGAAGAGTTTGTCCAGCAGTCGTCTTTTATCGAAGGCACTGAAACCGTTATTCTCCAGTGAGAGGAATTTTGAACATATTCTATACTTGTTGTGTATTTGATAAACTGAGTGCCATGCCTGGATTTACTTGAAGTACAATGCATTGCCCGGAAAAGTCCTCAAATGTGAAAAATGTGAGCTGCAATTCTGTAAATCACGTTGCATTTTCGTTTCGGTTGATTTGCTCGCTTTTGTGTCCATGGTTCGAGTGTTCAAAACAGCTGATAGCGCCTGGTCAGACGCATGCTGAAAACACACTGACGTTCACCATGATCACATAGATCTCCAGCAGGCTAATGGACGAGCTGCGAGTTGAGCAAATGGCATGCCAACATATGAAGAGAATGAATTTGCAGAGACTGTTCAGAGGATGGAAGCATACCGCCCTTTGGATGGCTCAAACGAGGGAAATAGCCATTCGAAAGGAATGCCAAAGGACAAAAATTCAAGGATGGATTAAGGACCTCAGGAATATCAGGGGCGATGCTTGCTCTACCCATAATTTCTGCTTGAATATGAGCACCAATGAGTGAGGTCCATAGTGGGATTTGCCATTACGAGAGGAACTGTTGGGACAGCTGATTTAGGAATAAGCCTCGACATCGGAATGTGCAGCAACCATTGCCACAGGCCAACTGGCAATGTGGGGCAGAGAAATGGGCAAGACATAGCAGCAGCGGGTCTTGGCTTAAAATATGACAATTTCTGCCTCCGACTATACAGGAGTCCCTGTACATCACAAGTCCATTTTCATACCCAAGTTACAGACTCTGTACAGAATGTACAAAGTGGCCGGATGAGCGATCAAGAATAATCATCAGCTCAGGACAGGGTAGACGAAGAAGAAAACTGATCGAAATTAGGATGGTCACTTTTGCCAGTGGGGTAGTTTCCTTGAGCGAGCACGCGAATACAAACACGTCCACAGGTTCAATAGTAGTGTGAGTGGATGCTGGCAACAGAGAGCCGGCACTTTGCATGCACTTCGGTGGAACTTCAGAGATTGGCTGCATTGCCTGCAAGCAGGTCTGCAAACCGGCCTGCTTTGCAGGGTGGCGTGGAGAGGATCATTGAACATGTGTGCAGCATTTCTAGAACAGAAAACTTATCTTGCTTGTCAGGTGTTCGTTCCAGCCTCCGGCCACTTCTCTAACTCAATAGGTATGGCGCATATACTCCAGGGCAGAGTATCTGGCAGAATCCTGCCCTTTCAACATCACCTGCTCTTGGGCATGCATATACTGGAGGATCAAGCATTTAGAACTAGTTTGCCTGCCACCAAATCTGCTTTAACTGATTTCATGTCACTACTTGAGCAGGGCTTTGCCCTGCCTATTTCATGTGTCGTCGTCAAATTCCATTGTTAACAGCGTGCACCAGTAGAAAACAGCCTGTTTGCGAGCCAATTGCGACGCCATTTGACACAAATTGATGCCATTACAGCTACTTTTATCTCATCGCAATAACTGTGGCGGCATCAGTTTGGGTCAAAATAGCATCGCAGTTGCCAGCGCAGACATGCCGTTTCCTACCAGTGGTATTGAATGTGGTAACCCCATTTCCTGCCTTGTGGAGACAGCCGACTTGGATGATACCCGGGGCGTCAACTCAGCACTTACCAGTGCGCTGAGCAGCCACAGAACAAATTTTTTTCCAGAAAACAGTGTGGACACAAAATAGGCTGAGGATCTCATGTTCATTTTTAGCTGGAGTTCTTGGACCCACATTAACAACAGAGACATAGCCAGCACATATCCGAATTGCCAATTTCTTGATCAAGTTGATCAATCGATGAATTTTAGGATCAGTTGTCTGTACTGTCATTCCCATCTCACAAACTTGTCGGTCATTGCATTGGCGACGCCACTTTTCCCTGCAACGGCAAGGTGCCAAATTTTCTAAAAGCTATTACTCACAAGCATACAGCAGAACGCCCAAACGCTTATCTAGGCCATGTCCTCCAACTCGTTCAGAGGCTTCACTACCAATGCTACTCTCCCAATTTGCCCTGCGACTGGAAAAGTCCTACGCCTGTACAGGGCTACCACATTGAGGGGCTTGAATGCATTTCAGTTCTTCTGCATCATCACATAGCAAACAGAAATCAGACAACAGCAAGCCATGCAAATCAGTGCCAGCCACTTGAGGGTTCATGGGGTGACGCAAGCTGAAATTTGAGCCAATCGCAATCAATCACAGTATTTATGGTGCACGGAATGGAATCTGATATTCTAAACCACAATAATGGAAAGCACACATAGATGAACCCCTACCTGCGCAACCTTCTGCCTAGCAGCTCTTCTTGCCGTTTCCTTGTGGGACAATTCAATGTCAGAGGCAAGCTTGCAAGCTTGCTTTTCCTTTTGATGTTGCTCTTTGACCCCTGGCGCTGCCCATGGGATACACGGCTGGAAGAAGGCTTTGCTACAGGTTTTCCAGCAGGCGAGATTGCATCCCTTGTCCTCGACACAGTGTCCGCATTTGCATCAGGCAATGTGCTGTTTTCTACTGTTGGCATTGTGCCATCCAGCTGCCCTTGCTGGCCCAGCAACACCTGCCATTCACTCAACTCTGCCAGCCTGTGATTGTTTCCAGCCAGCTGCAGACGAAGCTGCCAGATGCGCACCCTGGAAGAAGGAGAATTGAAGCATCAGAAGGGAAGTGTGAGTGATGGCATGCTACAGTACATCACGTTGACAGCCACAATTCTCCCGCAAACCCAGTTTACAATTCGCTGGCCGAGGTTGTGGGTCCTTTCTAGCAGTGGCTGATACCATAACTTGCAAAGCAGGGAGTTTCCCTAGAAGACACTGCCTATTCCAGTACTCACTCCTCCTCCAGCCCAGTGAGGACATTGGCAGCGATGTCATGGTCCTGGTTGCGTCCTTTTGCTCCCCTGGGCAACACGGTGAAAGCATGTCAAATATGAAGTTTGATGAACTGCTGAGGGGACTGTATCTTCGTACTGTCACAGCAGGTTTGCACTTCGAATAGCCAACAATGACAACAGGTGCTTTTGCACGCCCATGTCGCTTGCTGAATTTTTGGCCAATAACTGTGAGGCCCATATAGGTCGCTGGAACAACTGTCACAGTCGTATGATCTGAGTTCAGTAAAGGCACGTGCCCTGAGCAGTCTGTCATGTTTTACTTTGCATGCATTGGATACATTCATTCATTCATTCATGGGCCTCTGGTTGTCTGTTGGAACACATTCCAACAGGAATCCTATGCTTCCAAACCTTTACAGAAATCGAGGAGTCACCTTCGCTGCACCCGGGGTTTCTTTGCGGTGGTCTTGTCATTCTGCCTCACGTCACTCTGCCTTTGCAAAGCCCTCGTGTATTCCTGCTGAGGGGGGCGATCCTGCAGCTCACATTCCAACATTCTGAACTGTTGCTGTCCCCAATCCAAGTCAGGACAAGTCATTCACACATTCCGCAATGCGCTCTTCGTGGGTTCTATTTCGTCCACCCCATTTTGCCGTTGGAACCGGGTGCTCAGGCAGATCGATACGAAGACGTATTCCCACCACTCTTGCGTTCTTTGACCCATCCTCACCTCCTCTTGTGCGGCAGCTGCCTCCAAAGCTCCCAGCTCGCATTCGAGCTGGCGCCTGTTAGGGGGCGGAAACATGCAGAACAGTGAGCAACACGCCTCGCATAGTGATCACAAGAGTAGCAGCAGCGGCGGCGGCAACGACAAGTGTCGCTTTGGCTGACAGCCAACTCACAGCATTCCTTCCAGCGTGCCCTGCTCCAGTTCCAATCCATCCACCTCCTGTTGGAGCTTCTTCTCAAAGTGCTGGGCCTCCCTGGCGTCGGCCTCCCAGCTGGCAAAAGTCGCGTCCACAAGCCCTTTGTACACCTGGTTGCATGAACCAGGGTGACAATCGGTCGGGCCCACGGGTCCAACAGCAAAGCCGGCAGTCTGGCCTCGAAGATGCCTCTACCTGAAGCAGTGCCTTGGTCCCTTGGCTGCCGCGTCCCTGCGCAGTTCCCCCGGTGCCAGCACCTGGTACCTGTGCCCGTGTGTTTTTTGGCGTTAAGGGGCAGAACGAGTTCTGTGGGACGGAAGGACGGTAACACCGCATTGGGCCAAGGGTGCACATCAAAGCAGACTAAGGCAGGACAGCAACGCACAATGTGACCAAGAGTCAAGGGCAAATTGACGTTACCTTGTCCCGCAGCCACGCTCCAAAACTGCGCAAGTACGCAGCCAGTGCGTGACAGCGACCCAGAAGTTCCATCTGCAATCAGTTGCCACAGGGCCGAAGCTAGTTGGGTGGGCGACCGAAAGCTGGCTCGTCAACGCGAATCGAGATTTGGCAGAGGCCCTGTGCCGCTCAAGTTTCATTCATTTTTCGTTCATTCATGCTTAAATTTCATCATGCTGTTTTTCGCTGCGTACTTTTTGTGTCCTCGTAGTACACATGGCCATTCAAGCAACGACAAACAAACCCGATCCGCTCGCAGCTTGTTTCTAGATGCACGTGCGGTATTGCGAAACTGCTGCATATTTTGTTTGACCAGGGGATGAACTTCTTCATTCGGTATAATTGTGTTATGCATTTCGAGTAGCCATGGGCAAGCTTGGCGAGTTAAATTTTAGACCCATTACAGCCACGCAAAGGCATTGTTCTTGAAAGGGGAACGCGGGAATGTTTCATTTACGGTGAAAAATTGCCCATGCATTGACAAGGCGAAGAAATTACTATACGTACATTGCTGTACCACAATCTCGCCGCATGACTCATGCAGTGTAGCTAAAATGCTGGGCGCATTGCAAAGAAGCAATGTGCTCTCCTCGAGGAGATTTCGTGGAGCAGTTC